TGTATTTTTTTTTTGCTTAAAGTTTGATTTGGATTTTTTATATCTTCCATTTTTCTCCTCATTGTGTGTTTTCTTCTTCCTTTTTGAATATATGGAATATACTTAAATGCTTCCAATATTTATCATTGTTTCTTTTTTCTTTTTTGAAATTAAACTTTATTTATTTATTTATTTAGGGAGCATTGTTTGTTTGTTTGTTTGTGGTACCAGGAATTGAACCGGGGACAATTAACCACTGAGCCACATTCCCAGTTTTTTTTATATTTTATTTTTGAGACAGGGTGTTACTGAGTTGCTTAGGGCCTCACTAAGTTTCTGAGACTGGGTTTGAACCTCTGATCCTCCTGCCCAAGCTTTCTGAGCTGCTGGATTACAGACATGCGCCACTGTACCTGTCTCATTGTTTCTTTTTAAATGATTTTTTCTCTTGCTTAGGTCATATGTTCTAATTTCCCTTAGGCATTTTTTTTCTTGTTAATTGATATATTAAAAATATATATTTATAGAGTGATGTTTCGATACATATATACATTGTATAATGTTGAAATCAGGATAAAACACTCTCCCCAAACACTTATCATTTATTTATGGTAAATATATGCAAAATATTTTCTTCTAATTTTTTTAAAAAGAGTATACAGTATATTATCATTATCTATAGTCATCCTACCATGCAACAGAACACTAAAACTAGTACCTATTAATCAACCATTTCCCTTCTCTCCATCTCCCCTTCCCTCCACAGCATCTGGTAACCATCATTGTACTCTCAACTTCAATATGATAAACTTTTTAGTTTGAATGAGATCATATGAGACATGTCTTTCTATGAGGAGCCTGTTTTACTTCACATAATGACCTCAAGTTCCATCCATATTGTATGAAATGATATGATTTTATCCTTTTTATATGGTTGCCTAGCATTCTGTGTGTTTATCCACCACTTTCTCTTTATCACTTCATCGGTTGATGGACAGTTTCTCTTTATCACTTCATTGGTTGTTTCCATTTCTTAGCTGTTGTGAATACTGCTGCAATAAACTTGCATGTGCAAATGAGTCTTTGACAGACTGATGTTTTTCCTTTGGATATACAGTCAATAGTGGCATTGTTGGATCATATGGTAGTTCTATTTTTAATTTTTTAAGAAACTTCTGTACTGTTTTCACAATGGTTTTTCATTCCCACCAATGATGTGGTATGCAAAGTTTCCCTTTTTCTCATGTCCTCACCAGCACCTCTTGTCACCTATTGTCATTTTGACAATAGTCATCCTTACTGGAGCATTGTGTTTTGATTTGCATTCCTGTGATGATGAGTGATGATGAATACTTTTTCATATACCTGTTGGCCACTTCCTTAGAAAAAAATGTCAATTTTAATCTGTTGCCTATTTTTGAATTAAATTATTTGTGGCTTTTTTTTCTTTTTTTCTGTTGCTTTGAGTTCCTTGTCTATTTTGGTTTATGAGACTTTGTACAATGTGTGTTTTCCCATATTTTCTGCCGTTCTGTATTTTGTCTCTTCCCTCTGATAATTGTTTCCCCTGTTGGGCTAAAGCTTTCTCATTTGATAAAATCCATTTATCTCTTTTGGCTAGCTTCCTATGTTTTAAGGTCTTATAAAAACAAACAATAGGGGCTGGGGTTGTGGCTCAGTGGTAGAACACTTGCCTAGCAAGTTCGAGGCCTAGATTTCATTTTTAGCACCACATAAAAATAATAAAATAATGTATGTGTACATCTACGATTTAAAAAATTTAAAACAACTAAACTTCTTGCCCACTCAAATTTCCAGAAGCATTTTCCTATGTTCTCTTCTAGTAGTTTCCTTTCTTATATTTATATTCTCAAACAATTTTGAGTTGATATTTATATATGGTGAGCTATAGGAGTCTGGTTTGAGTCTTCTACATGTGAATATCCATTTTTTCTAGTGCTAGTTATTGAAAAGACTGTCCTTTCTTCAGTACATGTTTATAGCATCTTTGCTAAAGATCAGCTGGCTATAGATATGTGGGTTTACTTCTAGAAACCCTGGGGTTTTTTAAATAGATATAATATAGGAAGTTTAATTTTCATGAATGCTGGGTTTTATTTTAGTTTAGTTTTAGACTTTATTATGGCATGTAGTTGCTTAGAAAAACAAGTTTTCAAAGCTTAATTTTAAGCTTTAAGTTATATCCAGAGTGGCATTTAACATAGGATAATATAATCCCATTACTAACTAAGGAAATACCCTTTTAGGATTCCACCCAGTGGTCTGTGGGCTGCAATATCTCTCTTCTGTCTGTTGGGGGAAAAAAATCCATGCTTTGTATAAGCTCTAGACCTTATTTTGCTTATTGAACTTTGACTGTATTTTCGCCATTCATCTCCTGCCTCAGTAGTTTCTTCTTTTTTTTTATTCGTTGTTCACAACATTACACAGCTCTTGACATATCATATTTCATACATTAGATTCAAGTGGGTTATGAACTCCAAATATTTACCCCAAATGCAGATTGCAACACATGCTGAGATCAGTACTGTGCCAAATACTCAAGGAGACCTCTGTCCAAACGTCCAAAGTGTTCTTATTCTCTCTCTATGAAACTCCCTCCTCTATATTCTTCCCTACAAATTTAATCTCTTTAGATTACCTGAATCTTGATCTCTGTCTCTGGTAATTTAACAATACCCTCAAGCCTGCATGGGTTTTCCCATGCTCATCCTGTGGCCTGGAAACTACCATAAGCTGCAAACAGGGGCAGCCAAAGGGGCACCTCATTTCTTTCTATTCTCTTAGGGATCTTTATCATGAATTTTGCCTAGTTTTTGAGTTAAGTAAAATAGAAGGCAACACTGACTTCTGTCACTCTATCATGAATAGGAGTAGAAGCTCTAACTTGTTAGAAGTTTGACAAAAACTTAGGTGTGAAACATTTTGTGCCTGCACACAAATTAGCAAGATTGCTTTTTCTGGGAGCCCCTGCCTAATTTGATCTGAGTCAGCATGTCTTTTTTCATAGACACTGATACAGTTATGGAATAAATTATCTTCAACATTTGCAAGTAAGGAGGATTAAATTTGCATCATAAATATTCCTGAAAACTTGATATGTTGTCCAAGTTGGTTATAATAACACCTGCAGTACTCTAGATTTCATTTGAAATAAAATGTCACCAAGATGTTTCAAGAACATCACTGGAGAAACAATCTAATTATCTGACTTGAATATCGGATCATTCGTATTAATTCATTCATTCATTTCATTAACAAATATTGAAGATTCAAAGATGAATAAGAATAGATGAATAAAACATGGTTTCTGCTTTTCATGGAAACTATATAAGAGGAAACAAATGCTAATAAATAAACTACATTAGGAAACAGTAAGATTTTTGGATAAGGACATCAGTTGAGGGATGTGTAAAGTGACATAGAAACACAGAGAAGGGTGGAAAGGATGTATTCTTTATGGAAGACACTACTGTCTATCATCTGTTCATGTATTTACTTAACACTATGTTAAGGCCCAACAATGCAATTACTCTAGAGGAGAGATGGCTCTTCAGTAATCACAGTTTAGTGCAGTAGAAGCTTTGGCTGAGAGTAAACAGAGAAGAAGTAGATGATCAGGGAATCCTTCTAGAGGAGACTGAACCTAACACAGAAAAAGGCTCACAGCAGAGAGCATCCTGTTCTGGGAATTCAGGTAATACAGTGTGACAAGAGCATGGACATCAAGTGGCAGCTCTGCAGGAAAGAAGGTTGCAGAGATAGGTAAGCAGGTGCATCATCAAGAACTGGCTGTGTTCTTCTATGGTGTTTAGCTGGAAATAGGAAACATTGAAAGTGTGTATGTGTGTGTGTGTGTGTGTGTGTGTGTGTGCGCGCGTGCGCGCGCGTGTGTGTAAGTGTGTGTTAAATGAGGAAACAGTGATGATTTGTGTTTTAGAAACTTTATTCCAGTGATAGAGTGAAGGATGAGTAGAAGGAAAAGAAAGAGACCAATAGGAAGCTAAACTGATTCAACAATACAGGAAATACAGGATGAGGAACCACGCTGAGGGAGCAATGGAAGAACTGGAGATGAGAGGTTAAGGGGAAAGCCTATGGAATTGTTTAGATCAACAAAAGGACATGTCTACTTAGATGTAGAGGGTGACAGAGAGGACAGGGTTATGATGACTTCCAGTTTTTAGGCCCAGTGGACTAAGTGTACCCAGTAAGGGCTGTTAATCCCAAAAGGGCTTCTCTACCCATGAAATACAAGTAAAAGTAACAGGTTCCATTCATACTTTTCTTAGTTTTTTGAATTTGTTTTTGTGTCTTATAGACAGTAAACTAATACAGTAGTATATGTACATAACTTAAAATAAGTGAACAGCAACATATTGTAGGGTATGCTTAAATACTTTCTACCAGGATTGCGTAATCCAAAACCTTGGAGACTCTTGAAACAAGGAAAAGTGTATTTGGAGTTTCTCGAGACCTTGAAGTGCTTGTAGGATGTTTGAGAAGTGATTTCTAAATGCAGGCAGGACTTTCTAATAGAGCTTTCTGTCCCCCAGATCACAGGAATGCTCTAAATATATCCAGTATGGTAGCCTGCAGCCAGACAGGGCTATTAAGCACTTAAAATATGGCCAGTGCAACTGAGAAACTGAATTTTTCATTCTGTTTAATTTAATGTATTTAAATTTAAATAGCCTCATGTAACTAATGGCTACAATATTAAAAAGCACAGAAAACTTAGGGGAGAGACCTGGGGCTTTCATTTATTGAGTGCTTCTACTGGCAAAGCATTTTTATATACATCTAAAATAACTTCATCACACTAGTTGCCCTAATGAGTATGTGGTGGCAAAAAATAGTAAGTTCTTAGTTTACCCTTTTGTTAGTGAAAAATAAAAAGCACAATTGCTCTCCCATATATATATACTTTCTCCATACTCTGATAATAGGTATTTATGTGTCTTTCACAACCAAATAACAATTTTATATTTTTCTTTCAGGTGGTTTGCTCTGTTAGAGATTGAAATATGTATTATTTTAATACTTTATAAATATGACTGTACTCTTCTGGACCCATTACCAAAACAGGTAAATGTATTTAGAATCTTGACTAATAATGACAACTTTCAGATTTAATATAAGCTCTGGTCCTTGGTTTTAAATTCTAGAGATGAAACGACTGATTCCCTCACTTTGGCCTGATCTAAACATAGGTGGAACCGTACTGAGAACACACTGGGTCTTTTTAATTCAAGATCTAATCAATGCCAGGACTTAATAGTGTTTCTACTACTTCCAATGTTAGGGGCTCTTCAATGGATTTACCAACTTTTACCCTTTTCCCTAGGTTAAGTAAACATGGCCTTAAATTTGACCCCGTTTCCCTAGAAAGGAATGTTTTCTTTGGTACAAAAGTGAACCATCTATTTTGGATGCAAGTCATAGCCCTTGGTCCATGTGGAAAGCAATAGCTTGGAAAAAAGTCAGCTCCCTATAAAACTAAAGAGCAGAAATAAAAAGGTTGTGACTTTACACCTATCTCTGACCATTGAGGGTTCCAGTCATTTAACTCCTCTGTGCACCTGTTCTTCTTTGGGACCTGTGGTTCCCAAATTGGCAGGAGCTTCGGAATCACTTGAAGGGCTTACAAAATAGACTGCTGCCCTATCCCTTGAGCTCCTGATCAGTAGTTCTGGGGATGGGGTATCTATTATTTGCATTTCTGATAGGTTCCAGGTGCTATTGCTGTTCCTGGTCTGAGTACCGCACTTTGAAGATTCCTTCATAAGTAATAAAGGCAAGTTCAACTTAATTCCAAATGTTTGGAAGTCATTTTAAAAACTCTGGATAAAAGGTGCTGTCTAATCAATGCCAGGACCTAATAGTGTTTCTACTACTTCCAATGTTAGGGGCTTAAACAGAAATTAAGCAGCACAAGTTCATGGCTAGCCATATAACATTTTGTGCTTTCATTTACTCTTCATATAATAAGGCTAATATACCAAGGATAACTAAAACTCTTGATATTTCAATAGAAATTATGTGGGTGTATAAGTGACATAAAATATATTTCAAGTATGCACATTTCAGCATTTTCCTTAGACTTCTTTTGCACTTGTATTTTAAGTTCAAGTAACTACTAGGGATAAAGAGCTCTCAAAATTTACACTGAAAGGCAACTCTAAACCACCTCTCACAAAGTCCTCAGCTGCCTGCTGTATTGTTCAAAATGAAGATCAGAGCCAGGTTAGATTTCACAATTTTTTCCCAGGACTGACAATATCCAGCTATTTTTCTGCCAGCAAGAAGAAATAGGAATGCTTCACTGAGATGACATTTGTCAAAACCAGAGAGATCAATAATTTGTATCATCTACTTAGGCAACATTTTCTCCTAGTACTTTCTTTCCTCATAAGAATTCCATTAGCTACACTTTCCTAGACAAGTTTTTGTACATCTTATTTATATTTCGATGACACTAAGAACATTATTAAACAAATGTTATCTCAGTTTGAAATAAGTACAAGTCGAGGTGGATTTTTATAATCTCAATTCATTTCACAATCTTTATTCTAGGAAGAGAAAGATCAATAATTGGAATTGCTTTAATAAATTGTAAAACCAGGTGATCAACAAATGCAGGATATGACCTTCAAACTACCAACATTTTAGAAGGAGGACGTGAGCTATCAGGAGTATCTGAACACTCTGTGGTCAGGTGCAGGGAGGTCAGTGGACTTGGAAACCTGCTTCCCCACAGGAGTCCACCTGCCCTAGTAGCAAAAATCAAACTGTAGATTCCCCAGTTTTAATTTTTTAAACATCTTAGTTTCAATTCCTTCCCAATATGAACCAAACAATGAGGAAACACTATGAAGTAGAATCCGTGATTGGCGGCAGGGTCCTGATCCTGGAAGTGGGGGGTTGTTCCATTTTGAGCATTTGTGAAACAACCATTTCAAACGCTCTTGCTACTGTAGTGGATTTTTACTGGTTTGACTGTTTTTGTTCCATTTTACCTTTTAGGGGGTCACAGATTCTAAAAATATTTTCACAAAACTTATGGAACCCCTTCTAGAAAAGTACATATTTCTTAATACAAGATTGTGGGTGCAATTTCAGTGAGCTTGTGGAACCCAGCTCCTCATTCTGTCAACTCTCCTGAGAATTGCCTTGCTAAGGAGCCCATTCTGTGCCCTACCTCCTCTTTCCCAGCTCCCCATTACCACTCCCTAAACTCTCAAAGTCTATAGAAGAGGTTGCTTTTCATTTTTAATCCCCTAAGTGCCAAAAATCTTTTTTGTATTCTTAATACGCTGACCTCCCTTCACCCCCACACATATTCACACTTTGTTCAGGACTCTGGGGGCAAAAATCACAATATTTGGAACCCACAAGGGTCTTTTTGGAACATCATGGTTGTAAGTACACTGTAATCGTGGTTTATACCAACTCTGGAAGCTTTTTAAATACCTTTAACACACACAGAGCTCTCAGCTAACAATTGTAAATGAGGTGGTATAGCTTTTGAGCCAGAAACGTAGAAGGAGCCTTATTGATATCCTCTTTTTAGCCAGGGAAATTAAAGGGAAGATAGCCAGCAGGCCCATGGACTTGGGTGTGTGAATTTGAAGAGATTGTTATCAGAATAAGGTGTTTTCTTTTCCTGCTTCTTCAATGAAGGCTAAAGTTGATGCTTGAGGAGAAACTCCAATGCAAACAGTTCCCAACCTTCACAACTGAAGTTCAGGTCCTTTTAGAGAAAATTGCAATTGAATAAACGTTAAGTCATTGGCTTATGTCTCTTTTCTATTTCTTCTGTGTTTTTGTTTTTAGAGTTATCTCCATTTGGTGGGTGTCCCCCAGCCAAACGATCAATGTCGAATAGAATATAAACAAAGAATATGACATCTGCGGGGGCTCAAGAGGGCCAGAACCTTCTGGAAGAGAGATGCCCCCCACTCCTGGCAGCATCCCTGACACTAACCTGGCAGCACCTCCACCTGAGCTCTGCTGAAACATCCTGCTTCACTTTGTTTGGGGATTTAGTTCAAGAAAATATCCAATGGTACATGTTTGATATCTTCAAAACTAGGAATCTGACATCATTTTCTTGTGAATGTGATCTATAGCAAGTTTTTTTGCTTTAAATTTTTATGAGTATATTATAGTTATTCACAATATTAGGGTTAATTTTGATATAATCATACAAATATGGAATATTATTTGTTCCAGTTCAGTCCCCAGTACTCCTCTTTCCCTGCCACTCTCCCTCCACCTGTTCCCTTTCCTCTACTCGACTGGTGTTTCTTCTATTTAGTAATCAGTTTATTTTAAATCAGTGCCTTATAGATATACATAAAGCTGAAATGCACTGTGGTTTATTCATATATGTACTTAGGATAGCTAGGTCAGTTTCATTCCACTGTTCCTCCTTTTTCCCATCATTTCCCGCTTTCCTCATGAAAATAGACGAAAGGTCAGTGGAAAATGTTGAAATAATTAGAAAAAGCATTTTGAAGAGTTGGAATTTAGTTTCTTATGCAACTGTATTATAACTTCAAATAGAAACAAAGTCATTCGAATGGAAATCTTAGCACATAAAATTCACTTTGAAGGCAGCACACAAATTTCTATTTTGAAAAAAACTAAAAATCTTAGATACTAAATAATTTAATGATTCTAAAATTTTTCTACTTTTTATATGATTCTTAGCTAGCAATTGGAATTCTTAGGCTCTCTTAATATAATTCTTTATTATAAATGGATCTAATGCTAAAAGCATGAAGTGATAGTTTTCTAAGAGCAGTGAGGAGAGGGATCATGTCTTACACTCAACTTTGTACTCTGCTATGCCTAGGACAGCATCTTCTCTACAGGAAATATTTAATAAATGCATTTTGATTGATGTATTGATTTGTGTTTTAATAAAGGTGGAATCACTCACTTTATTCAAGGTGTTTACAATTATATTTCACAGAGATGACATTTTTGCTATGAGTGGAAATACAAATATAATGGTTTGTCAAGGCCAGAAATGTAGAAGGAGATTTATTCATGGTATCCTCTTCAGCCAGAGAAAGTGAAGGGTACCCAGAGCATTTTCATTCGACTGCATTTGAATCTATTACTCAGTACTTTCAAGTGTGAAATATTTGCCATGAAATCCAGAAATGAAGCCCTATCATGTTCAGGGGAAACATAATAACAGAGTAAAAAGTGATGTCATGATGTAGCCTCCATTATTCAAAGAAAATGCTGTTTGCCTCCTTTATTTCACAGTAAGCTTTGAAGTGCACATTGTCCTCTAGGTCTATTTGCTTGCCTGTGCTAGAATCATCTCAGGGGGTTGATAATTATTGCTTAGTCATTTATTTCCTACCAATAAACACATGATTCCCCAGGAGAAAATTAAGTACTTTGAGGGCATTAACTCTCCCAGACTAATGTCATGATTTTGAAGCCTAGCTACCAACTCACAGCTTTGCTTAGCAGTCTCAGGGTCTGGAGTTGGAAGGGGCTAAAGAAAGCAGGTTAGAGTCCTCAGCAGCTCTGAGAGTTGCAGACCGCAACCTAGCAAGTTCTACTAAGTATGACAACTGTTCTGAGGGAAGGTGTGTCCTCCCCACAACCAGGCCCACAAAGAAACGCTGTATTTGCAGAAATATCTACTTCAGCTAAATTGCAGTGGCTCAGTGCTAGTGTTTATCTGCATATTCTTGCTAGGTAAGGAAGAATGTTAGCTGACCCATCAACACATTTTAAAACAGAATGCTGATACAAAGGTCAACATCTGTTGACCTTTGGAAACATGAAGAATTAAGACCACTGCACATGGAGGTCTCATGTCTTTTATTTCCCTACCTTGAGGTTTTATGTAACATATTCATAATTTCTGATTTGGGGTTTTAGATAATATCTTATATATACATGTAGACATAATATATAATAATAATTTATTATTTATATATTTTGTATATGCATCATATATAATAATTTATTATATAGAATATTAATTTATTAATACATCCTCATATGTTAACTAGGATTTTCTGAAATCAGAGCCTGAAACAAAGATTTGTGTGCAGAATTTATTTGGGAGGTGCTCCCAGGCAGCAGAAGTGAGAGATCCAGTCAAAGGGTTGTATTATTAAGGTATATTGTAGCATATAGAATACCTCCTAGCTTTGTCCACCTGAAGTATAATAGGTAGGAGGGGTTCTTGACTGGCTCCTGTTCCTCGCTGATTAATGACTGACTACTCCTGGGGAAGTTAATCCTGCAGTGCATTTATGTATGTGTGTGGAAGGCAGGTGGTGGATGAGTGAGATCCTCTCTAGTGGGACTCTTTTTTTCTTCTTCGTTTTTACATTGAGCACACCATCTTTTTAGCTTTCAAATTGGGGGTTAACTTGCCCTGTGACAGAGCACATGATCATTGAAAGTTATGACAGAACTGTACTGGTCCAGGATTGCATTGGACCTGATAATTAAGTACATTAGATCCACTCGGAGGCCACAGGTGCCTGACAGGGTTGGACTGAAAGCAGCAGTAAATGGCAGTTACTACAAAAGGTATGAACTCTGGCTTTAGGAAATTTTGGGGGACTTTATCTAACCTCTTGCTTTATTTTCTTGTGCACTTAAGTAAAAGAACACTGTTTAAAAACTGACAAATGAATTATCAATGAAAACTGTAAGATCCTGTCTGGGTGTGCATTACATGCATGTGATTTGTCATCAAAATACATGAAAAGACTCTGACTTACAGAAAACAAAATGAAGCAAAACTTGAAGATTTGAATCAAGTCATTAATTACAATACATACATTTTTAAATGTAAGTTTACTAAGTAAGTTTATCTCTTGGATATAAAAGGCCACGAAACCATGGGTCTAGAAGCAGAAATGAGCAATAAGAGTGGATTCCTTGATGCATATCAGCCATGAGAGTGAAAAGAGAGAAAAAGGGAAATGTGTTTGACATTTTGATCTTTGCTTTCCAGCTTCTTTGCCTCTGTGATATTTTTGATACCTGCTTGATTTCTCAATGACCTGACACTGTGGGTCAGCTGCTGGGCCCTTCTGAGGCCTTGCATGTGTCTGGCTTTGATCTTGACTTTGGTTTGAGCCTCTCGGGTCTGGGGAGGTGGCCATGGTAAGACCTAGGTACATGTATGTTTCTGTGGCACCTGGGCTTCCAGCCACAGGGTGGGTCCAGGCCCAGCAGGGTCCCCTCTGTCTTCTCTGGCCCAGTTCGGCTTCTGTGCCATGCTGGAAAGAGTCAGATCCTCCAGATGAGCCCATACTCTGTCCTGGGCTCAGAATTCAGAGTGTGAACTAAGGAACCAGCTAGTCTTGCTCTTTGTAACTATCCTGGGTGCCATGTGGGTGCTAGGGACCCAGGACAACTAGGGTGGAGGTATTGATGAAGGACCTGTGGCTGGACCTCTCAGAAACCTTGGTTAGGTCAAGACTGCCTGGTGCAGTTTTAGCTTGGTGTTGCTATTTCAAAAGAAAAAGAATATATAAAGATGGCTATCTTTGTTTTTAATAAGCAATTCAAACATGATTATTAAAAAATGAAAAAATTAGGTAAATATAAACAGCATAAATGTTTATAAATTAACTCTTCATGTTTCAAAAAAAGTTATTTTTTGAAACTTGAAACCTTAAGGTGAAATTAAGTAAGAGGCAACTCACTAGATGTCTGGGTCATTTCTGAATAAGTTAAAATACTAAAAATGTTAATTACTAAGCATAAGGTTATGTATTTTAGAATCTTGTTTTTATGTGGCTTAGAGTAGCTAGATATTTTGGGGGTCTGTTAATTTAAAAACATGTTTCTTAAAATTATAAAATATGCTGAACAGTTCAAAATTTCTTACTATTTATGTTTTCACTAAAAATTAAGGTTTCTAAGAATTAAAATTCTAATTAGTTTATAGTAATTAAAGCTAGAGATAATAAGGGAAACAAGGAAACTAAGATGTCTTTGGTGAGGAAAGACATAAGGAAAGCACGAGAGTGTGTTTGTTTTGTCTAATTGGAGGTGGTTCCAGAATGAAGGAAGGAAGGATTCTATACATCTCCAGTGGTTGTGATACATAACTTGAAAGATTGATCCCTGTGATTGATCCAAATCAAATTATCTGTGATGACTTAGTAAAAAAACCCAGTGGGCCATAATTAGGCCTGGTGTACAAATGAGAGAATTGAAGTTTGGAGGGACCAGGGAACTTACCAAGGTCACACTGCTTGTGGCAGAAGCAAGGACTCTGGGGACAGACCCAGGAACTCTGGCTGTGAACTTGCCCTCATGCTATTAAACTACATTCTTCTTAAACAGGAATACATCACCTACAGGAGACAGCAACTTGACCCTGCGGTGGTCATAATTTACACTGTGGTTCTCTCCTCACTCTTGCAGGAGAAGTGATCAATCTGTTGAGTAGCCTATATTACAGAAGGGAGAGGGCAAGGAGCCCTGCAGTCTGCCCCATTTCCTCCCCAGTTTTATTCCTTAGAACCTTCCCCCACCACCTTGTGGGAACTGTGCTACAGACTGTGGGAGGGGGCCCTTCACCACTGGAAAAGAAAAACACCTTGGGAAAATGAATCTTCTGAATTTGGGCATATATGTGTCAATATATGAACAAATGTTATATATTCAGATGATATGTGATAGCAATGTGTTGATACATTGTTTATTGACAGCAATTGGATATGTGAGTGAGTGTGTGTGTGTGTGTGTGTGTGTGTGTGTGTGTGTGTGTGTGTGTTTAGTAGTATTCTACTTTGTTCCTTTACAAAAATACCACAGTCATGTCCCCCAGTTGGCCATAGGGTAAGGAATCTTATGAATGTTCTCTTTTGGTGGAGACAGGAACTAGCTAAGTACAGAATAGCCTTAGTTGAAACCTTGTCTTCAGGTAACCTTGCTTTTAGTTATTTTGTAATTCTGGAAAGAATTATAAAGAAGAGACCTAGAAGGTGGATGTGCTTTCTGCTTCTCAAAGCATATGAACTCTCCTCTGATTTTGATGTTGCTGTTGTTGGGGATAAACATGCAAGAACCATAGAACATGGTCAGAGAACCAGCCTAACTTCCTTTACTGCTTAAGAAGTTAAAACCTGAACAGAGAAACGTTGTGTTTGGAGCTCTGGTGGAATATTCAGTGACTGGTGAAGACAAAACCCTACATGAGACTGTGTAAGTGAATGATTCTTGCAGGACAGAAAACCATGGAACACATGAGCAATGTGCCAACTTCTATTGGCAGCAAAACACATTAATTTACAGATCCCCTAATGAAAGCAAACTGGTAACATCCATCCAGTGGTCCTCATGTTCCTCATTTAGTTGACTATACATCATTGTTTGCAGAAGCCATTTCACACCTGCAAGGTCCTAGGTGTAAAAAAAAGCACATTTTGAAAACACTGGACCTCTGAATGTTAGCCATTTTCCCACATGTCCCAGGACCTTGACAGCTATGCCAGACTATGTGACTGGTTTGGGTAAGTGGGTTGTAAGTAGAGGTGGAGGGTGTCAATTTCAGGTGGAAATGTGTAAGTAAATGGCCTCACCCCTACTTCCCTGTTGCTGTGATGGGGACTTTGCAGCAACAAGAAGGCAGAACTTCCCTCAGCTAATGCTACCACAGCATTAACCAGCCTGCCTGAACAGTACTGCAACTCAAATTCTGATTCCTATTCTTTATGCCTTTGGTCCTCTTTCATCTGATTCATTTAGAAGAGCAAAGTTTCAGCCTGCTGAATTCCAGATCAAGGGTGTCAATGTGATTGTACTAAATGTTTTATGGACGTGCTCTGCAATGATGATTCTTAAAGTCATAATACTAAAGTGGAAATTATATGTTGGTTGTTGGACTTCATTTTCCGAACAATTGATTGGTTTATTAAATAGAAAAGAATTTCCACCTAAAATA